TGAGATCCTCAATCAGGCAGTCTGGAGGAGGTCTGGCTCCTTTTCAACACCCCCCCAAATCTGTGGTTTCCCTCTGGCCTCTGCTAGCAGGCTGGAGCTCAAGCCAGCCAAGCTCTCCCATGACTGTGATGTAGGCTGGGAGTTTCCCTGCCCAGGATCCCAGCCTGAGCTGGGAACACAGCCTTGTGGGAGGAGGGGCACCCCATGAGAATGCTGCAACTAGGACCCATTCTGTACTCTCCCCCGGATCTGCCCTTGCAGGCACTCATACCTCATGAGACTAATTCACAAATTCCCTCTGTGTCCCTCAGCAACACGATCAAGACCTAGAGGGATCTGGTCTGTGGGTCCATTCCTGGGGCCCTGGAGATCAATCCCTGGCCATGCCAGGGAGAAGCATGCTGATTCCAAGTCACCCATAGTGTGCCCAAGCTAGTTCAATGTCCCTCCACCTCAGGGTGCCCTGCTCTGATAGGGCTACTGGATATGCAGCACCAGGGAGGGCTGGTGGGCAGGGAGCTAACAGTCCAAGCACCTGTTAGTCTACTGCAGGGCCCCAAAAAGGAAAGGTCTGAGCCCCGTTTCCTATGGAAGCCTCCATATGGTGGCTCAATTGTCTCTCTCAGCATCCTTGGGTGGGGGAGAAAGAGGGGAGGAAAAGAGTATGGGTGGAGGAAAGGCAGCACTCTGGTCATCTCTTACCCTCTTTCCTGGAGGCAGTCCACCCAGAATGACCAGGCTCTGGAGTCGTGGAGATCACCCGAGATCCACTGGACTCCTGAGGCTCCTACAGTCTGGGTTGGAGTTGGGAAATGTCTGTGTGGGGACAAGCAAGATGAAACCTGAGGAATTGTAGCCCCCTAGGGAGGACAAAGGCACATAGTGGGCAGAAAAGCAATATGGTGCCTGCTGTCTGGGCTTGGGTCTGTCAGGCAGGAGGCACCCCAGCAGGGCTCGAGCCTGGTGCCCTGTCTGCAAGAAGTTCCCAACTCACTGGCGGCAGCAGTCTCTGGGCTGATGTGGGCAGAAGGTCTCTCCAGCAGCTCAGGAGCCCACCAACTGTCCAAGATGCAATGGAGGGAGAAACTAACCACTGTGCCTAGCCTTCTAACTGGTCTCGGAGCCTCTCAGGGATTTATCTCCACCAATACCTCTCTCCTTCCAGTTCTGCTCTGCAATCTCTTCCCATGCAGTCTCCTAAAGGTTCTAGCATGCTTCCTTCAGACCCTCATCTGCTTTATGTTTGTCCATCTGTTTTTCCTCTTTGATCTAAAATTTCTCCTTCTTACTGAGACACTCTGGCGGGTGGTGTCTCTGGTCTGCCATCTTGGACCTTTTCATTCTCTTAATGATACCATCTAATAAACACAGTTTATTTTAATTTGATAATACTCATTAATATTTTCCTTTATGGATAATGCTTGATGTTTTAAGAAATCTTTGTCTAAGGTCATGAAGATATCTTCTTATGTTTCCCTCCAGAATTATTATTATTTTAACTTTTACATTTAGATATACAAAAACCCTGGAATTTATTTTGTGTTTGGTGTGAAGTAGGAGTCGTGTTTAATTTTTATCATTAAAGATATTCAACGGTACACATATGTATGAATTTCTTCCTGCACTTTATACAATTTTACTGTTCTAATTGTCTATCCCTGTACCAATTTCACACTGCCTGAAATACTGCAACTTTATAACAAGTTTTGGTATTTAGTAAAGTTCTCCAACTTCATTCTTTTAAAAATTGTCTTGGCCAGTCTTGCTCCTTGGCATTTCTTTATATATTACACACACACACACACACACACACACACGCACAAATGTACATATTTTTTTAACATTTGTATTTGCAATGGCAGTTTTTATTTCTTCCTTTCCAGCCATGTAATTTTTATTTCTTGAAATACTACATTGGCTAGGATGAAAAATATAAAGTTAAATATATTAAGAATGATGAGAATCCTTGAGGATAATGGGCACCCTTGTCTTAATTACAATCGGAGGGCGAATAGCTTTCAATATTTTCAGTATTTCACCATTATAGGAATACAGGATGCTGGCTTTATGTTTTTAGGATACGTTATTTATCAGATTAAGAAAATTCCTTCCTTCTTTGCTAAAAGGGTTTTTTGTTTTATGAATGCATATTGAAGGTTTTTAAACATAGACTTTTTCCTGTACTTTTTCAAATGGTGAATAACATTGATTTTCAAATATTAATCTCAAGTTCCTAAAACAAGCCCAACTTATTTTTCATGAACTATTTCTTCACACATTGCTGAATTCAGGGTTTTTCTGGGGTTTTTTTTGTTTTGTTTTAGGAATTTTGTACCCATGTTCATGATTGACTTAACCTACAGTATTTTTCCTTCTTCTTCTAATATTCTTGTCAGATTTTGGTATCAAGATTATGCTGGCCTTATAAAACAAATTTGGAAGTTTCTTCCTTCTGTTTCTGGAAAAGTTTGTATAAAACTTGTGTTGTTTCTTACTTAAATATTAGAAGAATTCAGTGATCTGGGCTTAAAATGTTCTATTTTGGGAAAGGGTGTTAAAATTTCAGATTCAATTTTGTTTTAGATAGAGCAGTGATTGAGATACCTATTTCTTCTTGTGTTCATTTTGACAAGTTCTATTTTTTTTTAGGAATTTATACATTTTACTTACATCTTTAATTTATTGGCAAAACTGTTCCCAATATTCTCTTACTATCTGCTTGATCTCTGCTTGACCTATAGTGATGGATCATTTCTATCCCTAATATTGCTTATCTGTGTCTTTTTTGATCAGTCTTGCTAGAATTTTATAAATTTTTCTTTTAAAAAATCAACTTTTTGTTTCTAATACTTTCTATTATATGTTTGCTTTCTATTTTATTAATTTTTCTTCCTACTTTTTTGGAAACATTTAGACCACTGATTTTTGTCAGCCTTTTTCTTTACTTATAAAACCTTTTAATATTGTAAAAATTTTCCTCTAAATTTGTCACTAGTTGCATCTAACACACTTTTTGTTATCTTTTATTACAATTCAGTTTAAAATGTTTTATTTCCATATGATTTCTTCTTTGATCTATGGGTTATTTAGAAGTGCATTGCTTAATTTAAAAATATGTGGAGGTTTTTCCTATTTTTTCTTATTTTATTCTGGATTAAATAGTCTGTACCATTGTATTTTCCCATCTCTTAGTATATAAAATTGATAATAGTAATAAAACCAGGTGGGGGCACACAGCATCATGACTGCTCTTCAAATGTACTTGGGACTCTGTTAAAATGCAGATTTCTGCTTCTCAGCCAGTTATCTTTTTGTTACAGATTTCTAGTTTAATTTTATTGTGATTAATGATCATACTCTCTATGTGATTTTGAACCTTTGAAATGTTTTGGAATTTGCTTTAAGGCTTATCATATGGTCTATTTGGGTAAATGTCCCATGTGCACTTAAAAAGAATATAAATTCTGCAATTTTGGGGTACAGTGTTCTATATATCTCAATTAGGCCAATTTTGTTAATTTTATTACTCAAATCTTTTATATTCTAATTTTTGTCTGCTTGTTCTATCAGATACTGAGAGATGTATTAAAATCATCTAAACATGATTATAAATTTAATTCATTTTAATTCTGTGAAATTTGTCTTTATACATTTTGAAGCTATGCTATTAGATGTATATAGATTTAAATTTTTAATATTTTCCAGGTGTATTGATCCCTTTCATTATTATTAAGCATTCCTCTTACTATCCACTAGGTCTCCTTGCCTTTGTTTTATATTAGTATAACTACACCAGCTTTTGGGGGGAGAGTAGAGTTTCACAGTATATCTTTGTCCATCCTTTTACTTTCAACATTACATTCAATAATCTACGCACCAATAGTTGAGATTTTAAAAAATCCAATCTGTGACACTTTGGTTTTATACTTGGTATAATTACTGATAAATTTGTGTTGAAATCTACCATCATACTCCCCATCTTAATAGGAGTTTAATATTTGTCTTGCCTGTTCTAATCTTTGTCTTGCCTTTTCTTTTTTCTTATTTTATTCTGGATTAAATAGTCTGTACCACTGTATTTTCCCATCTCTTAGTATATAAAATTGATCATAGTAATAAAACCAGGTGGGGACACACAGCATCATGACTGCTCTTCAAATGTACTTGGGACTCTGTTAAAATGCAGATTTCTGCTTCTCACCCAGAAATATTGAATCAAAATGTGGGACAGGCAGCAGACAAGATGCATTTCTTTTTTAAAGCTCCATAGATAATTCTGATGGACAGCCAGTTGAACCATCAATCTACACTCTATTTCTTCCTACATCTTTGAAAGATACATACAGAAAATGTGGCTAAAAAAATACCTTTATAATGGGTCTCCTTTCTTAGTATTTTGACAGTTCCTGCACAGTGCCTGGGTCAGACTCCAGCCCCCAGGCTGGCTGGCTGTCTCCACTGAGCTTGGCCAAGAGGCTCACTGCAGTCAGGCATGGGGTTGTCAGCCAGGCCTGACCACCGCCTCTCAGCTGGTGTCTGGAATCACAAAGCCAGTAGCCTGAATGTTGGAACCTGGCTCCCTTCTTCTCTCTGTTTCTCTCTGATTCCTGGGAAGGACTTTTTGGAGGGCTGGAAAATCTTTGCTTCCACTATGCAGGGAGATCTGGTTTATCTCTAAGAAGCCCAGCAATGTGTGGCTGAATCTACTCAATCATGAACATTTTTCTTTTTCTTTTATTGTAAGTCATTTACCATTACAATACTGATGGCACTGTGAATTGAAGTTTTATAAAGTTGTCTGGCAAAGTCCTGTACGTTTGTTTCCTGCAGAAAGAGAGGTTACCTTTAAAATTAACCACAAAAGCCCAAAAGGATGTTACAAAAATGCATATCTACCTCTTATGAAGTAGTTTAGTGCTTCCAGCTGTATACGAGATATTTGAGATCGGTGTATCAATTTTACCTTCAACATTCAAATGACAAAAAGAACGTGAACAATAAAGAATTAAACAAACAATTTTTTACCTTAAGCAAGAAGATATTTGGTACAGAGACAAGACCAAAATAAATGAAGGAAAAAATAGTCTGTTAACTGGAAACATAAAAAATAGTATCTTCTTCCACCAAAATAATAATAACAATAAATGAACAGCTATGCCCTCAAGTGAGTGGAGGCATTTTTGATTTATAATATCACTTTATACATATAATGCATGTTATTGTATTCATAAAAGCAAAAATTATGCAGAGAAAATCTGACACTTGGTTTTCTTCTAATGACTTTTCAAAAAGAGATTTTGTTTGGGAAAGAAAGATTCTAAAGAGTTTTTTTGTGTGTTTGCTTTTCTTTAGCCTGAAGGTTTTTAAAACGTACTTTTATTAAAAAGCAAAGTACTCAGGCCTCTTTTCTGTGTACAGTGAAGGGGCCCTATAGCCTGCACTGGTGGGGGCTGGTTTTCCAGTCCCCACACTCCGACCTCCCATGGGGTTTTATAATACAAGCCCCTGAGCAAAATAGGGTGAAAATCCAAAATCTCATACCCAAATATGAGAGACTGGGGCAGGGGGTGAAGGGAGGGTGCATAGTCTGCTCAAGCTCTTCCTTTGAAGGCTTGGCCTCCCTTGGTTTGTGAGCACCTGAGCAGTCTCCAAGGCTGGCCCTGTACACTGTGGTCAGAAGATGTGTCCCTGTAGTGACAAGGCTGCGAAGTGGGTGGGGACATGTTTCTGGAGGGTGAGGGAGAGCTGGCTACTGCCCTACTGGCCTGTATCCCTCCTCCTAGGGAGCTGTCATTGACTCTAGCACCTGTCCTTGGACATTTCTCAGAGGTATTTTTCAGCCTTTTGTGTTGTGCTGTTGCATGGTTATGGAGTCTGATTGAATTGGATACTGAGATGAAATCATGTAGCATCCTTTTTCTGTTTCCAAGATTTCCTTTGGGTCTGGCAGCTCACATGTGAGTCTTCCCCAGAGGCTCAGACTTCCTGGGGGATGTGGCCCAGTGAGCAACCTGATCTGGGTTTGACCCCCCCAGAGAAGCCCCAGCTGGACCTATACAGTGAGCTGGATAGCTTGGCTGGCCTGAAGGAGGGCCAGGGCAGCAGCATGAAGCCTCCCTCTTAGAGAAGTAAAAATTGAGAGACAGCAAAGGACAAGAAGGAACAGGGCCCAAATTCCCTTCCCTTGGCCATGAGGCCTGAGGAAGGAAACTTCCAGGGGAATTTGAGAATTATCCTTATGGAACCAACAAATAAATAGTTACCAAATAAAATGGAAATAGCCTTCTTGGAATTTTCATTTTCAGGTATTTCCAGAAGCATTTAAGAGGGACTTTTTTTAAAGATTGTGCCTTTCATTCAGGCTCATTCAATGCCAAGGTTAGCCAGGTTTCTCTCTCCTAAATAGAGCTGGAATCATAGTACAAAAAGGGCCCATTAACAATACTGCCACAGTGGACAAAAAAACACTTTCACTTCTGCTATCTCATTTGATCCTTACTCTAACCCTGTGATGTGGCAAGGCAGGGATTACCATCTGCATTGTAGAGATAAGCACCTAAATTTGCTTAGGTAGGAAGTGGTCCTAGAACCCTGGAGCCCTGTCTCCTGGCTTGGTCTTTCTGTCTCTGTTCCATTGCCACTTCTAACTCATTTTTGGGAAATGAGCTACTCTTTGTGGTAAAACACACCCGGAAAAAGTGGGTTTACTTAGTACTTATCCAACCATCCTGAGGATAGGCAAGGTGAGAAGGTGAAAGGGCCTACAACAAATTGAACTCCTGAAAAAGTCAAATGCATGAAGGAATGCAATTAGAACTGAAACGGTTCTCTGGAGAAATCTTTGAAATCTTTGACCAGTCTGAGTCCTAACTGCAGTAAAATCCATGGGCACGCTTATATTTAACATTTCAACGTAAGTTAACAACGGTTTGTTAAACACATCTTAGGTAGGAGGGAAGGTGGGGGTTAGAAAGAGGTAAGGGCAAAATCTGGGGTCTGGGATCTCTATGGGTCCTCTAGGCCTCAGCAATGAATGGAGGATCATTCCATGCTTCCAACAGCCCCTGCAGCACACTGTGCCATGGGAGTTATATGGGCTTCAAGCTAACGGCCATGCTGACCATTGGGAATGAGATGCCTGTCGGCCCCAAGGCCATTCTTCAAAGAGTCTATCTCTTTGCCTTTGGTAGCCTCTTTTTCTTCTTCCTCCTCTTCCTCTTCCTCGTCCTCTTCCTCCTCATCCTCGTTGTCACTTCTCACATCCTGGATGTTCTAGACAAAAGAAAGCATTGGCTGTGACAACCTTTCAATTGGCTGTGAAGAATTCTGAGTGGATATGCAAACCAGTGGGCCCAGTTTAGAAGCATGAAAAGAAACCCAATACTTAAACAACCAAAAATTCACAAGGTTGACCATATCATGGATCTTAAAACAAACCTTAACATATGTAAAAAATTGAAATTAAACAAAGTATTTTGCATCATAATGGAATTAAACTAGAAATCAATATCAAAGATAATAGGGTACTTGGAAATTAAACAACACCCTTCTATATAGTCAATGGGTCAAAAAGTAAGTCTCAAAGAATATTAGAAAATATTTTGAACTAAATGAAAATGAAAATATAATATATTAAAATTTGTTGAATACAGTTAAAATAATGCTTTAAAAAGGAAATTTATAGCATTAAGTGTTTATATTAGGAAAGAAGAAAGATCTCAAACAATTTAAACTTCAACCTTAGAAACTAGAAAAAAGAAGAGCAAAATAAACTCAAAGCAAGAAAAAGGAAGGAAATAATAAAGATAAAATAAGTTGATGAAATTGAAAACACATAAACAATAGGGGAAAGGAAAAAAAAATGCCTGTTCTTCAAAAAGATCCATAACACTAATAACTCACGAGCAAGGCTGACAACAAAATAAAAGTGAAAGTACATATTACCAGAAAGGAAAAAAGGAGTTATGACTATAGATTCTGCAGGTAATACAAGAATAATATCAGAATGTTATGAATAGCCCTATGCATATACTTTTGACAACTTAGATCAAATGGTCCAATTTCTTAAAAACTACAAACTATTAAAACTTATTCAAGATAAAATAGATAACCTGAATAGTCAAATAATATGAAAAAAATTGAATTTGTAGTGAAAAACCTTCTGAAAAATAACAGCACTAGGCCCAAATGATTTCATTGGCAAATTCCATGAAACATACAAACACCAAATCTCTACGGTATCTTTTAAAAAATACAAGAGGAGGGAACATGTCCTATTTTATCTTAAGAGGCCAGAATTACCCTCACACAAAAACCAGACAGAGATAATGTAAGACAAGACAGTTACAGACCAGTATCTCTAATGAACATGGACATAAAAATCCTCAACTAAATATTCCAAATCAAAATAAGCAACGTATAAAAATAATAATACTTCATGACAAAGTGGGATTTATCTCATGAATGCAAGGTTGATTTGATGTTTGAAAATCAGTCAGTGTAATCCATCATACTAATAAGTTAAAGAAGAAAACAATAGATAATTGATGCAGAAAATCATGTGACAAAATTCCACATGCATTTGTGATAAAATAAAATCTCTCAGCAAAGAAAGAATAGAAAAGAACTTATTAAAGAATATCTACAAAATCTTATAGCTAATATCATACTTAATGGTGCATGGCTGAACACTTTCTCCTAAGACTAGGTACAAGGATGTCCACTTCCACTACTGCTATTCAACATTGTATAGGAATACTTAGTCAATATAGTAAGGTAAAAAAAGAAATAAAAGTCATAACATGTTTCCCTGAAAATAAGACAGGGTCATATATTTATTTTTCCTCAAGAAGACGCCCTAGGGCTTATTTTCATGGGATGTATTATTTTTTTTAAAGTACGGTACAACAATCTACATTTATTCAAATATAGTTAAGTTGTCTTCTTCTGGAACATCATCATAACTTTCCAAACCCCGAATTCCATCCTGAATTTCTTGCGACTCTATTTCCTTTAGAACCATTGGCCCTAATCTCTCATGTCTCGAGCAATAGAGCTCTCATGGGGCAGATGAGAAGGGCTGCTCCTCTTCTCTACCACACCACGAAGAAATGCATGGATTCTATGGTATGCTGTGTAGCCACGCGCATCACTAGGTCTTATTTTTGGGGCAGGACTTACATTGCACAAATGCTTACAAATCCTGTTAGGGCTTATTTTATGAGTAGGTCTTATTTTTGGGGAAACATGGTACATATTGGAAAAAAAGAAATAAAAGCATCCCTATTTGCAGATGTCATAATTGTCCATGTAGAAAATCCTAAGGAATCTACCAAAAAACTCCTAGAATTAATAAGTTGGTTTAGCAAGTTTGCAGGATACAAAGTCAACACACAAAAAAATCACACACATACACACACACACACACACACACAAATTTTCATTCCAAAAACTAATTCAATAGGCTGAAAAATGTCCTCAAAGATATGAAGTCCCAATCTCTGGACCAGTGACGTCACCTGATACCTGTGTAAAGTTCTTGCAGACATGATTCAGGTAAGGATCTTAAGATGGAGAAGATTATCCTGGACTATCCAGGTGGGCCCTAAATGCCATCACAAGTGTCCTTATGAAACAGAGGCAGAGGGAAAGTTGACCACAGGGGAGAGGCAATATGAAGACAGAGAAAAGACTAGAATGATGCAGTTACAAGCCAAGAAATGCCCACAGCTACCAAAAACTGGAAAAGGCAAAGAACGGATTCTCTCCTAAGGCTTCTGGAGGGAACACAGCCCTGATGACACCTTGATTGAGGCTCAGAACTGAGTATGAGGCTCAGAACTTCTGACCTCCAGAACTGTGAGAGAATACATTTCTGTTGTTTTAAGCACCAAGTTGTCATAATTTGTTACAGCAGCCATAGAAATTAATACTACTAACAGTGTTCAATTAAAAACTGAAATTTAAAAATCTACAACATTTACAATAGTTCCAAAAATGAAATACTTAGGTATATATCTAACAAACTATGTATAGGATCTCTATGTAAAACCTACAAAACTCTGGTGAAAGAAATCAAGGAAGACCTAAATAATTGGAGAGACATACTATGTTCATGAATTAGAAGACTCAACATAATAAAAATATTAATTATCTTTAAATTGATTTATAGATTCCATACAATACCAATCAACATCCAAGCAGAATTTTCTGTAGACACAGATAAGCTGATTCTAAAATTTACATGGAAAGGCAAATGGACAAGAATAGCTAAAGGAATTCTGAAAAAGAAGAACAAAATGGAAGGACTTAAAGTACTCTATTTTAAGACTTACTATAAAGTTACAGTAATCAAGACAGGGTAGTATTAGCAGAAGGATAAACGCATAGTGGAACAGATATAGACTCTAGAAATAATTCCATACAAATATCGCTGATTGAGTTTATACAAAGGATCAAAACAATTCAATGGAGAAAGGATAGTCTTTTCAAGAAATGGTTGGAATGACTGGATATCCGTAGTACAAAAAGTAAATTTTCATCTAAATGTCATACCTCATACAAAAGCCAACTCAAAATGAATCATAGATCTAAATGTAAAATGCAAAACTATAAAACTTTTAGGAGAAAATCCATGATCTTGGATTGGGCAATGAATACTTAGACATGGCACAAAAAACATACTCCACAAAAGAAAAAAATTGATAATCTAGACTTTATGAAAATTAAAAACTTTTGCTATACTAAAGACACTATTCAGAGAATGAAAAACTGCAAACTGGGCAAAAATATTACACATACAACTTGTATGCATAATAAAGAACTCTCAACCTCAACAATAAGAAAACAACGCAATTTTTAAAAACAAGCAAAAGATGTAAAAAGAGACACTTCATTGAAGAGGACACAAGCATATGAAAAGATGTTCAGCATCATTATCCATTATAAAAATGCAAATTAAAACCATTAAAATAGCTAAAATTAAAAATGTTGGCAATACTAAGTACTGACAAGGATGCAGAATGACTGGACACCTCATGTATTGCTGGTGGAAATGCAAAACAGTACAGATAGACACTCTGGAAAACAGTTTGACAGTTACTTATAAAATTAAATATATATTTACTGTCTCCCTCAGCAGTTCTACTCCTGAGTAGCTACCTTAGAGACAGCTCTATTCATAACTACCAAAAATTGGAAGCAACTCAAATGCTTTCCCACAACACCACAGAAAGGGTGTCAAAATAACAAGCCTCACTGTAAACATGGAGGAATACACTTGGCATCTCCTCAGTTAAGACGCAACAGAGCAAGGCAACCTTTCTCTGATATGCTGGGAGCTGGGATCAAAAGTGCTGCCTCCTACAGAGGAAGCCTTTCAGGAAAGGGCCACGCTTGCTTTCCTGGTCAGTGTCCTTCTGGCCTCCTTTCCCAAAATACTTTGGTAGGGATCAAGGGGAAACTCTAATCAGAAAGGCAGACTGGCACCTACACACCCATCTCTCCAGGATTTGAAGAGCTAAGGCAGAAACCAGTCCCTGAGGATGCCAGCCGTCTGCCCTAGCCATGTCCTCTAGCACCCTTACCTCTAAGAAGAGGTCCTGGACTATATGGGGTCTTCTGAAGTTTATAGCATTTTTGTGGTCACAAAGGTTGGGGAATACTACTGGCTTATAATATGCAGAGGGTAAGGACATTGGAAATCCTACAATGTGCATGACACCCACGTAACTCCCCAGACATGCGTAGAGGTGAAAACCCTGTTCATAGCCATCCAAGCCGAGAACCTAACTCTATTTTACATTCAAGTACAGTAATTTTTGCATGGTTTTCATATATTCTGAATTTTCCAAGATTGCAAGTATGTATATAAGTCAAAGGAAGTCCAGACAGTTGCTCTCCATTAGGCATGTGTTCCCCATCAGTGAATTCAACCAACATATGAAAAAATGCTCAACATCTCTAATCATCAGGGAAATGCAAATCAAACCACAATGAGATATCACTTAACTCCAGTGAGAATGGCCTTTATCAAAAAGTCTCTAAACAATAAATGCTGGCGTGGATGCAGAGAGAGAGGAACACTCCTACACTGCTGGTGGGACTGCAAACTAGTTCAACCTCTGTGGAAAGCAATATGGAGATACCTTAAAGCGATACAAGTGGATCTACCATTTGATCCAGCAATCCCATTACTGGGCATCTACCCAAAAGATCCAATGACACTCTACAAAAAATACACCTGCACTCGAATGTTTATAGCAGCACAATTC